TTCAGCGCGTAATAAGTTGTTGTGATATAAACAGCTTCAGTGTGTATTATACTGAGGTACACAATGTAAACAGCTTCAGTGTGTATTATACTGAGGTACACAATATAAACAGCTTCAGTGTGTATTATACTGAGGTACACAATGTAAACAGCTTCAGTGTGTATTATACTGAGGTACACAATGTAAACAGCTTCAGTGTGTATTATACTGAGGTACACAATATAAACAGCTTCAGTGTGTATTATACTGAGGTACACCAATGTAAACAGCTTCAGTGTGTATTGTACTGAGGTACACAATGTAAACAGCTTCAGAGTGTATTGTACTGTGGTACACAATGTAAACAGCTTCAGAGTGTATTATACTGAGGTACACCAATGAAAACAGCTTCAGCATGTATTATACTGAGGTACACAATGTAAACAGCTTCAGCATGTATTATACTGAGGTACACAATGTAAACAGCTTCAGCATGTATTATACTGAGGTACACAATGTAAACAGCTTCAGTGTGTATTATACTGAGGTACACAATGTAAACAGCTTCAGTGTGTATTATACTGAGGTACACAATATAAACAGCTTCAGTGTGTATTATACTGAGGTACACAATGTAAACAGCTTCAGCATGTATTATACTGAGGTACACAATGTAAACAGCTTCAGTGTGTATTATACTGAGGTACACAATGTAAACAGCTTCAGCATGTAGTATACTGAGGTACACAATATAAACAGCTTCAGTGTGTATTATACTGAGGTACACAATGTAAACAGCTTCCGTGTGTATTATACTGAGGTACACAATATAAACAGCTTCAGCATGTATTATACTGAGGTACACAATGTAAACAGCTTCCGTGTGTATTATACTGAGGAACAATGTAAACAGCTTCAGCATGTATTATACTGAGGTACACAATATAAACAGCTTCAGCATGTATTATACTGAGGTACACAATATAAACAGCTTCAGCATGTATTATACTGAGGTACACAATGTAAACAGCTTCAGCATGTAGTATACTGAGGAACAATGTAAACAGCTTCAGCTTCAGCATGTATTATACTGAGGTACACAATGTAAACAGCTTCCGTGTGTATTATACTGAGGAACAATGTAAACAGCTTCAGCATGTATAATACTGAGGTACACAATGTAAACAGCTTCCGTGTGTATTAAACTGAGGTACACAATATAAACAGCTTCAGCTTGTATTATACTGAGGTACACAATATAAACAGCTTCAGCATGTATTATACTGAGGAACAATGTAAACAGCTTCAGCATGTATTATACTGAGGTACACAATATAAACAGCTTCAGCATGTAGTATACTGAGGTACACAATGTAAACAGCTTCCGTGTGTATTATACTGAGGAACAATGTAAACAGCTTCAGTGTGTATTATACTGAGGTACACAATGTAAACAGCTTTAGTATGTATTATACCGAGGTACACAATGTAAACAGCTTCAGCATGTATTATACTGAGGAACAATATAAACAGCTTCAGCATGTATTATACTGAAGTACACAATATAAACAGCTTCAGTGTGTATTATACTGAGGTACACAATGTAAACAGCTTAAGCGTGTATTTTACTGAGGTACACAATGTAAACAGCTTCAGCATGTAGTATACTGAAGTACACAATATAAACAGCTTCAGTGTGTATTATACTGAGGTACACAATATAAACAGCTTCAGCATGTAGTATACTGAAGTACACAATATAAACAGCTTCAGTGTGTATTATACTGAGGTACACAATATAAACAGCTTCAGCGTGTATTATACTGAGGAACAATGTAAACAGCTTCAGCATGTAGTATACTGAAGTACACAATATAAACAGCTTCAGTGTGTATTATACTGAGGTACACAATGTAAACAGCTTCAGCATGTATTATACTGAGGTACACAATGTAAAAAGCTTCAGCATGTAGTATACTGAGGTACACAATATAAACAGCTTCAGCTTGTATTATACTGAGGTACACAATGTAAACAGCTTCAGCATGTATTATATTGAGGTACACAATGTAAACAGCTTCAGCATGTAGTATACTGAGGTACACAATATAAACAGCTTCAATGTGTATTATACTGAGGAACAATGTAAACAGCTTCAGCATGTAGTATACTGAAGTACACAATATAAACAGCTTCAGTGTGTATTATACTGAGGTACACAATGTAAACAGCTTCAGCATGTATTATACTGAGGTACACAATGTAAACAGCTTCAGCATGTATTATACTGAGGTACACAATGTAAACAGCTTCAGTGTGTATTATACTGAGGTACACAATATAAACAGCTTCAGTGTGTATTATACTGAGGTACACAATGTAAACAGCTTCAGTGTGTATTATACTGAGGTACACAATGTAAACAGCTTCAGCATGTATTATACTGAGGTACACAATGTAAACAGCTTCAGCATGTATTATACTGAGGAACAATGTAAACAGCTTCAGCAGCTTCAGCATGTATTATACTGAGGTACACAATGTAAACAGCTTCAGTGTGTATTATACTGAGGTACACAATGTAAACAGCTTCAGTGTGTATTATACTGAGGTACACAATGTAAACAGCTTCAGTGTGTATTATACTGAGGTACACAATGTAAACAGCTTCAGCATGTATTATACTGAGGTACACAATGTAAACAGCTTCAGTGTGTATTATACTGAGGTACACAATATAAACAGCTTCAGTGTGTATTATACTGAGGTACACAATGTAAACAGCTTCAGTGTGTATTATACTGAGGTACACAATGTAAACAGCTTCAGTGTGTATTGTACTGAGGTACACAATGTAAACAGCTTCAGAGTGTATTGTACTGTGGTACACAATGTAAACAGCTTCAGTGTGTATTATACTGAGGTACACAATGTAAACAGCTTCAGAGTGTATTATACTGAGGTACACCAATGTAAACAGCTTCAGTGTGTATTATACTGAGGTACACCAATGTAAACAGCTTCAGTGTGTATTGTACTGAGGGTATACCCATGTAAACCGCTTCAGTGTGTATTATACTGAGGTACACAATATAAACAGCTTCAGTGTGTATTATACTGAGGTACACAATGTAAACAGCTTCAGTGTGTATTATACTGAGGTACACAATGTAAACAGCTTCAGTGTGTATTATACTGAGCTTCAGTGTACTGAGGTACACAATGTAAACAGCTTCAGTGTGTATTATACTGAGGTACACAATGTAAACAGCTTCCGTGTGTATTATACTGAGGTACACAATGTAAACAGCTTCAGCATGTATTATACTGAGGTACACAATGTAAACAGCTTCAGAGTGTATTGTACTGTGGTACACGATGTAAACAGCTTCAGTGTGTATTATACTGAGGTACACAATGTAAACAGCTTCAGCATGTATTATACTGAGGTACACAATGTAAACAGCTTAAGCATGTATTTTACTGAGGTACACAATGTAAACAGCTTAAGCATGTATTTTACTGAGGTACACCAATGTAAACAGCTTCAGCATGTATTATACTGAGGTACACAATGTAAACAGCTTCAGCATGTATTATACTGAGGTACACAATGTAAACAGCTTCAGTGTGTATTATACTGAGGTACACAATGTAAACAGCTTCAGCATGTATTATACTGAGGTACACAATGTAAACAGCTTCAGCATGTATTATACCGAGGTACACAATGTAAACAGCTTAAGCGTGTATTATACTGAGGTACACCAATGTAAACAGCTTCAGTGTGTATTGTACTGAGGTACACAATGTAAACAGCTTCAGAGTGTATTGTACTGTGGTACACGATGTAAACAGCTTCAGTGTGTATTATACTGAGGTACACAATGTAAACAGCTTCAGCATGTATTATACTGAGGTACACGATGTAAACAGCTTCCGTGTGTATTATACTGAGGTACACAATGTAAACAGCTTAAGCGTGTATTATACTGAGGTACACAATGTAAACAGCTTAAGCGTGTATTTTACTGAGGTACACAATGTAAACAGCTTCAGTGTGTATTATACTGAGGTACACAATGTAAACAGCTTCAGCATGTAGTATACTGAGGTACACAATATAAACAGCTTAAGCGTGTATTTTACTGAGGTACACAATGTAAACAGCTTCAGTGTGTATTATACTGAGGTACACAATGTAAACAGCTTCAGCATGTATTATACTGAGGTACACAATGTAAACAGCTTCAGTGGAATCTTGGCAGCCACCATCGTTTGATCTTTATCTGCTCTTTGATTTTTGGATCTTTCCTCTTATCTTCTCTGTATTTGCTCTTCATGATAAGACATTTGAACATTCCTTTACAGAAATAGCAATGTTAATCTTCACCTGCCAAATCAAAATGGTCGTCTAGAAGACATTCTTTTCTTCTAATCAGTGCTAAAATCAAACAGGCACAAGTAGAGACTAATGGGAACATATGTATGAAATTTGAGAGAGATCCGTTCAGTACTTTTTAAGAAATAGGGATAACAATCTTTACAGGGCGAAATCCAAGATGGCTGACTGTCGGCCATTTCCTTTTTCTATTCAGTCCCAAACTCAGGCACAACTAGAGAGAAAGGGGAACCTACATGTGAAATTTATGAAAGATCCATTCAATATTTCTCAAGAAATAGCATTAACAATTTTAAAAAGTCAAAATACAAGATGGTCACCTGTTGACCATTTTGTTTTCTGATCTGACTTTAAATCAAATCAGTACAACTAGACATCAAAGGGAACCTGCATATGATATTGGAGAAAGATCCATTATGCACTTCTCAAGAAATGGTGATAACAAAAATTTGTTTACAGACGGACGGACAGATCACAGACAACAGACGTAAGGGATTTGAATAGCCCAGCATTTGATGAGAGTGGATCATATGGTGGGTAAAAAAATGTTCATCACCACAATAGACTTATCCTACATATTTATCAATTATCAAACCGCCGGGTACACAACAACAAACAATTCTTTGTCACAAATTTATTTACATAGTGAAGTAACAAACACTGGTAAAAACACACCACATATAATGTTTTCCAAATATTCATTATCACTACTTCACTGTCAACAGTTACAATGTTATTGTCTTAATTTCATTTAACACATCTCCTATTGTTGTGTATCTTACGACTTTGTTTCTGGTTCCTTGGGTGTTTCTGAGGCTTGATCACCCTCTGTGAGTCGGAACTTAGGGAAAGTTTCCCATGGACTACTGTATTCGAATTTCCTAAACTCCTGAGCTAACTCAAGTGGTTCAACTACCACACGTCTCTCCTCATCGTCATATCGTACCTGAAAGGAAGTTAAACGACAAAAATTATAGGAAAAGGTCACACAACAATGAAATAGGCCACGTTTAAAACATTTAAAATGATAACATGCATTACTGGATATGGTAAATGTATCCTTTTCAGTAGAGCAAGTCAAAAGCAGACAGCCAACCACTTAATAAACACTGATCACATAACCCCAAGGGGGACAACTCTTGCTCCAAATAAACCCCCTAAAACCCAGAAATCAAGACTCCTGTGCAATGTCAAACATAGTGAAGTTAATAGATTGGAAATGTAACGTACCTCAACATAACCAGACAGTGGGAAGTCTTTCCGGAATGGATGACCTTCAAACCCGTAATCAGTCAGGATTCTTCTCAAGTCAGGGTGGTTGGCGAAAAACACACCATACAAATCCCAAACCTGTAACAGTACAAAACAAATTACACCCTGTCTGATAGTGATTTAGTAATATCTGATCACATCAGAAACTCGATTTCTTTGTATAAACAAAACATCTGCTATTTGCTAGCTTAGGCGGTGTTTTAAAAGCATCTCAAAGTATAAGCGACTTTGTGTTTGAATTATAAAGAAAAAATGTATGTAAAATTTATAAATCAATTGCATACAGACACACTTCACACCATAACCAAACATTCTTCTGTGTGCTACCAAAGGAAAATAAAAATCAAATTATTTGTAATTTTTTCAAAAGATCTTTTTCAAGCAGAATCTACTGGTCCCAGTTTCACGGATCTTACTTAATTTAAGGAATTTTCCTAAACTTGAAAATTCCTCACAGTCAGTAAATCATTACATAAGTTAAGGACATTTCTTTGAATTTCAGTTTTCCCTTAACTTATGTAATGCTTTTTCTATGGTATTTTCTTAAGTTAAGGAAACTGTGAAACTGAGGCCAGAAAGCAAAAACGCATGTCCAGTATATATTTTTTTAAAATTCATTACATGTATCTTTACAGTAATGGATTCCTGGAAGATAAACAAAAAAATTATCAATGTTCTGATCAATATGGACAACCATGTGATGATAATAACACAAAGTGATGAAATCCTACCTCTCGTTCCATCCAGTTTGCACCATGAAACTCTGAGGTGATTGAACTCACAGGAGTGAGTTCATCTGTGTAAGACCTGACCTTGATTCGAGAGTTGAAGTGCAGAGACATGAGCATGTAAATCATCTGGAATATAAAAAGTCACTAAAGATAGAATTATAACTACCAGGTTTGTACCTAACACTCTTAAAGATAGAATTATAACTACCGGCTTTGTACCTAACACTCTATCTACAACGAGATACTATGGTGGAGAAAATGATATCAGAACTCTCATCAACAGGTGATGAGACTCAACAAAGCCCATATATCAATATATCCACATATGTAAGTGTGCTTATTTAACTGAAATATTCTACAGTTTCAAAACTACTTCAAAATCAAAGCTATTGTTAAACAGCTTTAAATTTGGGAGCTCTAATGTAAATCCAGTAATGAGTTAGACCTTATAAAATAGCATTTCTCCCCCACACCAAATGTCCTACCAGGCCATTTACTGAAAACCTATGTAAGAACTTGAAACTAAATAACCCGGAACGCTGCAGTTCCCTTCTGATACACCGCCTCATTAATATGAACACATACATCAAGTATGAGGTCCCTTTGACAAGCAGTGCTGGAGATAGAGCTCAAAATTTTCTTTTGATGTAGGTCAAAATGTAGGTCAGAGTGACCTACTTTAAATATGTGACACCGTCTCACCAAGCTGAACCTACATCCCATGAGTTGAGTTCTTGTAATAAGTTGTAGTCCCCTCTATTGGTGGGATACTTAAGTTCCCTCCAGTTCCCACTGGTTCCAGGTGGAGTATTATGGTCCCCCCCCCCCTTGTTTGGGCATAGGACTATCAACAAAGTTTTTAACTATGGAATTCTGTTATAATAAGAAACATGTGATGAATTTGAATATAATTATCTAATTAAAACATCATTTAAAAAATCTTAAAACTTTTTCATTTAAAAACTGGATGTTTTCACAGTTAGTGAATATTTAGTACTGTATTTTTAAGGTTATAAGCTGCGTCTATTTTCCTCGGTGGTTGGGCATGCAGCTTATATGCGGGAGCAGCTTATATGTGGCATAAATGATGGGCAGTCTTTTAGCAATAATACTAATCAGCAAAATTAACACGACACCTTTCGAGGAATCAGAGTTCTGATAATCTAACTAATATTGTAGTTGAAAACTAAACACTGTAACTTTATACAGTATACAACGTCAAATAAATTACAGACTAATACATACCTCAAACCTGTACTTTCGTGCAGGGACATCCATGGCAGTAACATCTATTATGTTAAGGAACTGGCCTGTGTGGTGATTCTTCAGAAAGGAGATAACAGGAAGGATCCCTTCAGGGTGAACGAGAATGTCTAGTTCATCTCCAGCTGTGATTCGCACTTCCTGAACATATTTGGGAATATTTTCTGCCACATATTGTCCAAATGTTTTCAGCTGGTCTGTCTCAACCTTCCTTTCGACCTTCTTAATTGTGGCTGGAAAAAAAGAGTGTTTTATTTTTTGTATAACCTGATAACAAAAATTATAATAAACATCACTGTTTCTGCCTATAAACATATAAAGTCTTTTTTTTCTAAATGTCCTTTGAAAAACTTTTTCTTAAACAATTCTAAAAGAGGGAGTATTGTTCTATCGGGTATATCATACAATCTATCCTGAATGATATATAACTGAATCATGTCAAAGAGAAATATATATATATATATTACTGTAGTGAAATGAATACAGATATGAAAAGTCTCCTGTAGTAACGCATGATTCTAGAACTCAAATATCTGAGCCCCTACTATCACTGGACAGTCTTTACTTAATCTTAAAGGATGGGCTGAAAATTGATCATGAGGAAGAGATCTCTGGACAAGACTTAAATGCCCCACCCCCCTCCCCCTCCTCCCCAACCAACATATATATTTCCACAGAACTACCATTTCAGGTCATGGCAATGGTAATAAGTTAAAGCCAACCAAGTTTAAAAGAGATGAGCTGGAAACTGAGTGATCTGATCTTGGAAAAGACCTAGATTGCTAAAAACAAACAAACAAACAAACAAACAAACTATGGGGCAACAACTCTATCAAATACAGTCAAATCTTAACACCATTCCAGATTACAAAACTTCACCTCATGCTACCTTGATTATGCTTATACCAAGTTATAGAGAGATCAGTTCAAAACTGTCCCTCTACTTCAAATCAAGTTACAAAAATTTATGACAGAAGTGAATACAATTTCCACACTACACCATAATACTTAATGTCAAAATCACTGACATATATATTAAATGCAAACTGAGCAGTTGATGAATTTGATAACAATGAAAGAGCAACATTTTTATAGTCTCATGTCATTTATCATAACCAAAAATAAAAATTTATTCTTACGTTTTAAGGACTCAGCTGAGGTACTCTCAAACCGGAAATGTTGTATGGCAGCAGGTGCTTGTCTTGGCACTATTATAATAAAAAAAACATCATTGTCAATTATAGTGCAATGAATACATATACACATATATATGTAAATGCATCATTATGTAAAACTCAATTTCTGATATTGGCAATTTGCATGATATAGTTCAAATGATACATTAAATCAAAATGTTTCTTTGAAGGTCAGGCATCTTGATAAGAAAAATCACACCATAAATTTCTAATTTTGAAGAACATATTTACACATATAGCTCATAATATCATTCACAGACCAAAACCGAGACATTAAATTTTATAAAATCACTGAATTTCTTACAGGTATTTGATAAATCTGGATTTAGAAGAGAATGTTTATAATTTTGAAAATGCTATGCGTTTGTCCTCTTTATATAACTTTCCATATTATTTCTATATATGCTGGTTGAAGGGAGATAATTCACATACACAATTGCAGTGTTTTCAAATATAATGGGGGGACTGGCCTTCAAATCAATCATTTTTGTCTTTTTTTTTTTTTAGGGGGGGGGGGGGGGGGGGGATGGGGGGGTGGGGTGTTGGGTGTTATTTGAAAAATCATTTCTACTCATGGCAAACAACATGAAAATGCAGTTATACAGTAATAATAAAACATAACTAACTTCAGAGCCACAATAAAACTCTATCAGCTTTGACGTATATAACTTCAGGTGAATTTCCATGGTACCAGGTATGTGGTGCTGATATTCCCTACCCACAGCAGATTGTGTTTTCCAGTGAAAGTGAAATGTAGTTTTGGCAATAATATTGGCTATCGAGTTAGGTGAAAAATATGATGCCTTTTTTTGTTGCAAATATCTAGAAGAACTTTTTGTTTCAATTTCAGATGATCCTGTATTTGAATAATTGTTATTTATTACTCAAAAGCAGTAACTATCACCCAAATGCAAGAATAAAAGGTGTTTCTGGTTTTCCGAATGCCTATATTTTTGGCTACTAACAAGTATCAGTAACCTGAGGCAAAATCACTTAGATGCTTGACATATATATCTTACAGACAGATGCATGTGATCGTCAGACTATTAAAAGTAACAAGGACATTATAATCTAGTTTTCTTATTATGGTTGGTGAAAAAAACAACTTGAATGGTATGTTAGTCAAGTTATATCAAATGCATATCTTGAGTCTGATTATTTTTCTCCGTAAATAATGAATGTGGAATTACCCAAACAAAAACCTAAACTTACACATATATTATTATGAACTTTCATAAAAAACCAAAGGTAAGATCTGGTTTTCAGACAAGTATTCATCTTTCATGTGTCTTTTCTGAATCAGAATGTGATAACTCAGCATTGCTTAGACAGACATTAACCAAACTACTTGTTTGCTTATTTTTGTTATCATTTTCTTTTTATAGGCCATCAAAAACATAATAAGAATTTTAAAAAAATCCCTACCTACCGACGATACCTGTTTTCATGCTGAAACCAGAAGCACATATTTTTCTTTTGGACTTGCAAACACATTGCACTTTTTTTGTCTTTTACTAACTGATATACGGATTTCTTTACGCTTTTGAAATTATGCATATTGATGTTATGCAAACTTAAAGAGTGTATTCTCCTTAACTTAAACATATGAAGAAAAATATGCACACAAGCAGAATTAACCTACTTGAATTCAAAAGACGTTTAAGTAGCTAAGAACTTATTCCCCATGTACGCAGTACGGAATTAATGGTCTTTTGTGCTACAGAGGTACGTAACCAGTTGTGCAGAAAAGTACATCATTGACAAAAATGGTCATAAACAGTCTGATGTTGGTGCCCGAAGTAACCAGCACAGATCTGATTGCGATGGGTACCATAAATAATTCATGAAACGATTAACATTGTTGGAAGTGAAAATCAGTAGATGAGACATATACAAGGTGACAAAATTATGAAAACCTTACTTTGGCTACATCGAGCCAGTCCAGTAACCGCAGGCCGAATCAGCCTGCAAAGTCTTGACGCCATCTTGCCGGTGACCTTCGTGGGGAGCAGTTATTGACATCTCTAAATGGTGTATATCAATCAGGAAATACTGTTTGACATAGGACGACAGCTTGGTTAAAAATATAAAAATATAATTAAATTTATGTGAAATTGGTTCTCATCGATGTTAGTCAAATGGTAAACGATCTTAAAAATTAGTAATTAACAGCGGGTCCTTTCTTTTCACTTCCGGTGACAGGAGAGTTCCAATACAGGTGCACGCCGCTCGACTTACAATTATTTCGCTCTTAATGCTTATTGTAAAATGTACACCAAGCATTCATAATTGACAACATCATAACGAACCAGTGATTTGTAAAACAATGCATAGTAAAATGGCATCGGAATGTAATCAAGCCACTACGTAACTGTGTCTGTGTAGCGGAGCTGGACGGATGAAAATACAGACGTGAAAACTAATCCCGTTACATCTGTATTCATCACTCTCTTGATCACTGGAGCTGTACTGTCTTGGTCTGTTATGGAGTCTGGAGACTTATTCACAAATATCGTTTAATACTTCAAACAATGCCCATAAAGTGCATTTTAAATGCTGTTTCCTAGCACCAGATTGCTTGCATCATCTGATTTAAGAGAAATACTGTATTATTTTTCTGAATGAAATAGCTTGTTTTTTTCCTTTTTCACATGTCATTATGAGCCTCAGTTTTCGATTGTTTTTTTTAATTGTGTTGAATCATACTCTTTATTCTTTAAACATTTGTCTTTAAGTCTTATTACCCTTACACTGTGAACTATTAAGTGACGTAACATATAGCACAATATTTTGGTATTCAGTCATAATTAATGTATGTGTTATGATCGTTGAAATTCCTGTAAATTATCACAATATAATATACAAACATATTTACAGACAATCTAAGCATTATAGGTCTTTCCATGCTAATAGCCACATCAGTATTGAATCCACATTCCAGTAGGATAGAAAGCAATATGTTTGTCAAAGTAATATTATCTTTATTTGTGTAGATGCATTGAGTGATATGTATCATCTTACTTAATTTCAGATTTTCCATTCAGCTTCTGGTAATTGTACCATGTTTTACACTTAGAAGTACACTTCATTTATATTAGTGAAAGACTGATGACCATCATGTTGGATTAAAGGAACAAATATATTATCAGGAAACAAAGTTATGGCTGGGATGGAACGTCAGACTAGTACAGAGAAACTGGCATTTGTATCAATGCTAAATGGAGAACTACAGGAGGTTCCTGAGCATGCCAGGGTAAGATAACTGACCACAGAGGCTGGTATATGTCTTTCAATAATCATCAGGTTATTCACTTTGTCTGTCAGCTGATCACTGATATCTTAATAGTTCATATAGTGAGCAGTAATTAGTCACAAACAGTTTATTGATATAAACTTTAATTTGACTTCATTAATTATTTGATTTTGCCATTCTGAACAATTTCATGGAAATTTCATTATGTGTTGCCAATAATGTTTTCTTTTTGTTACAGTTGGGGAAATGCCGCAGTGTGACTGACTTTGAGAAGTTAAGCAGAGTGGGAGAAGGCACATATGGAATTGTCTGTAAGTGTAAGATAACCATTTTCTTATCCTCAATACTCCAGCGATTTTCATCACTTACACTGGCTGTAGCTGTGGAATATGTCATGACAAGATTGAAAGCACAAGTGAAGAAATTTTATTTGTTCCAAGAGAAGAAAACTAACCAATCACAGGCTGATACGCTCCTTTAGTTTATAGACAGAGAAAGGAAAATTAAATCTGATGTGAGACTGGTCGACATAAATTGATGTACCCAGGGTCTTTGCCTTTTGTGATTGACCACTACAATTAAATTTGATGTTTGTTTGTAGACAGAGAAAGGAAAATTAAATCTAATGTTAAGTTTGTTTGTGGTGAGAGAAAGATTTGATGTCAGTTTTGTATATAGACAGAGCCAGAGATGTTAGATGTGATGTTGTATTTGTTTACATGAACAAGAGTCCTACACGACATACATGATGTTGTTATTTACAGACAGAGCCAGAGACATCAAATCTCACTCCATCGTCGCTTTAAAGAAGATGAGGATGGAAAGAGAAAAAGATGGTAAATAGATTTTTTTATTTCATACACGAAATAGATAATTGTCTGAATTGGGTATGGTAGAGATGTTTTTGAAACACGCATGAAAATACCTACAATTGAACATAAATATTCAAGATGTCACATTAGTATTTCAATATTATACTTACTTTTCCACACATTAAACATACTGATTAGTAAGCTCTGCAGTTCTTCATATGAAATATCCATTTGTGTGAAGTTTACAAACAGTTACATTAATTTCAATGTGAGATAGTCTGTCAGGAGGGATGTGAAAGAAATGTACAATATGTTTGTTTTGTAGGTATTCCCATCAGTGGTCTTAGAGAAATAGATATTCTGTTGAATCTTCGCCATGACAACATAGTGGAGTTACGAGAAGTAGCAGTTGGAAAAAGTTTAGATAGGTTAGTGTTGACATTCAGAAGGACATTAATGTCATTAGAAACATGAATTTTTAAAATTAAACAAGATCTAAGTGAAGAATCAATACATTTTTATATATTAGTAAGTACATTTATGTCAATCCAGGATTTGATGTCTATTGAAGGGACTACATGGTAAGATTTTATTACTTTTCTCCTGTTCGCTTTCGGGCAAGCGATGTAGTACTTAAAATTAGACTACCACATATTTACAAAATCGTAGCACTGTTTGAGAAGAATTGATAAAGATTATCTACTGCCATTTGGTATGTATTGGAGATAGCTTAGTTCATCACATGACCTTTTCGGAGCCTCGTTTTAACTTCATGCTTTGGTATGATTTCTTAATTTTCGTACAACTCACATGTGCAAAGTCATTGTTGACACTCCCCGAAGGATAATGATGAATTATTGTAGGGTCACTCCTATTCTTTTTTGATTTTTCAATATTTTTAATAAATTGTTTATAAAATACAGTAACTGACACTTTCATGTTTAATCTCTACTTTGTGTTTCTCTCTAAAAAACCGACATGTTTGTTTTATCAGCTGTGTTTGATGTTGTAGTATTTTTCTGGTTATGGACTACTGTGAACAGGACTTGGCATCACTTCTAGACAACATGGCAGCACCATTCTCAGAAGCCCAGGTAATAACACTAGTTGCAGTTTTGAATTAAAACAAAGTTCCCTGGTTTTATTTGCATGATTTTCCCAGTGTTTTAGAGATTTTTTAGTGTATCATAATTTTGACTAATTTTCCAGCATCTTAATTTTTTTTTGTCTTTTTCATTTCTACGTTTTTTTTGACAGGCTTGCACAAAGAATACATTATTAATGAGTTGAATAAGAAAAGTTTTGAAAACTTTTCAATATATTTTTACAGGTGAAGTGTATTATGATACAAGTGCTGAAAGGTCTGCGGTACATGCATGAAAACTTCATTGTCCACAGGTAAGTTTTTTATTTGTTAAGAAAATTAAAATTTTCAATATTTATCTTTTAAAAAGTGTCGGATGTTACTAGCTGTGTATCTTAATTCACATATTTTTGTCTCTTTGATAAATCAATATAAACAATTTATTTATTTTTCATTGAATTGCCTTGTATATAAAGTAACAACTGACAATTAGAAATTTATGGATTTTACGAGAAGAATCAAGGGTATTACTTTAATTAGCTTTGGTTGGTTCCTCATATCCCTTGCCTAGATATACCACCTGGTATTTATGGAGGAAGATTTAGGGACAGGAACAAACTAAGAACAGTAGTTTTAAGCAAAAAACTCAGGAACTTGTTGCGATTGACTGCATGCACTACTCTTCAGTTGGATTTGATATTGTACAAATATTGGGGTTTGAAGAAACTAACTGATGTATGGGTTTCAAAGCATTCTGTTTCATCTGTTAGCTCTCTTGCCTTTTGATAAGTTAGACATAAATGTTAGTTGCCTTTTCTTATAGAGACTTAAAGGTGTCCAATCTTCTAATGACAGATAAAGGAAGTGTTAAGATAGGTGAGTTATGTATCAGATCAACCCATATTTTACAGACTACTGTTACAGCTGAAGGTTTGAATATTCACCACTGTAGGGGATATTGAAAGAGAGTTTAAAATGATATATTATGACATTTTGTTAAAAGCCTCTATTCATATTTGTTTTTTTTTAAATTTCTTTGCTATCCCAGCAAATATTGATCTTTTTCTCAGCTGAAGTATGTTATCTTTAATTGACATCAATTAAAAGAAAATGCATAATGACACTTTAAATAGGTTTTTGGACATATTAATAAAAACTTGCAAAGAGATATAATTAAAACCAGGGTTAATGAGAGAACGACATGACATTGACTTGTCACAGTAGATCTGTGCAGTTGATATAGAGTCCATGTTTATCTCTGTTGTCAGCTGACTTCGGTCTGGCGAGGAAGTATGGACTACCTCTAAAACCGATGACACCAAAAGTTGTCACTTTGTGGTAAGTCTCATGATGATCATTATTGCACATTTAATTGGTAAGAAAATTATTTTTAGATATTTTATAAACGGAACACTTGCATGATAATTTAACCACTTTATTGATGTTTGCCTCACTATAAAATGATATCGTCTTTTTTAAACCATAAAATATTCTTGCAAGTATATAGGTATTAATGCATTAATAAACAAACTGTTGACACCCTTCCTATTCAGATTATACAGGCAATTAGTATATAATACTCTCCATCCTCCATAATTTTTTCTGAATTAAGTACAATATATTTTGTGATTGTGGGTAGAACTTTATCAAATAACCACATATCTTGTAATTTCTAACCCACAGGTACCGGGCTCCTGAACTGCTGTTGGGCTCCAAAGAACAGACAGTTGCCATAGATATGTGGTATGTACCCATGGTTAATATCAGAATTTTTAATGTCATTGTATCCAAGTGGAACTTATATTTGGTAATTTTGAGAAAATAGGTCTTTAGAATCAATATATACATTATTGTAGAAAATTATGACAATGTTCATAGTTTATGTTTCAATAAAAACAATGATTGATTCACATTTTGAAGGTCCGTGGGGTGTATCTTTGGAGAACTCCTGGCACATCGTCCCCTGTTACCAGGACGATCTGACATCCATCAAATAGAGCTGATCATTGAGATGTTTGGGACCCCCAGCGAAGCTATTTGGCCGGTATATATTTGACTGTTGTGAATAAAAATGTCTAAAGAAAAAACAAAGAATCTAGTAGTGTGAACTGAAGAGTTAAAGAAAAGTAAATAAATTATATATTTCATAAATCATTTCAAATATATTATTACCAATAACTGAAAATAACTGAAAGCAAATTTCTCTTTTTACAGGGTTTTAATCAGTTACCCATGCTAGACAGCATCAATCTGAAGAAACAGCCGTAAGTTATAAATACAAACTTTCTTTTTAGCCCTTTCACTGATACAACAAAAGTTAACATTAGATTTAATGTATGACAGGTAGTATCTTTTTTTTGTGTAGAGCATTCTTGATGAATCTAGTACACTGAACAATATGAAAGTTTTATTGCGTCAGGTATCGTTTGGTGTCCAAACTTTTTTTACAACAGAAAAGAAAGAACAACATATGCAGTGTAACTCTTTCTTGATGAAAGTGACATCAGAGTAAAAACTGTATTCTTTGTATTAATTGTGTGTGATTTATACATTTCAATGTACATTTTTATGCTATCCCTATATTCACAGTCATTTTCCAATATCCAGTTTGACCTCTCACTTTATTCAGGAGACCCCTCATAGATTTAGAGATGATAATGTCATGTGACAGTTTTGAAAACGAGGCAGTTCATTTGTATACACGAATACAAAAAATATAGTGACTCTTTAAGTAAACCTTTTTTTTTTCTACACCCAAAATTGTTACGGATAATTAAACATTGATAACTGAAATTAATTTAGAATTATAAAATATATTACATTGATAGCCATCATTTTTATAAAAATCAAACTGCAGCCATACATGTATTGTAAACAACTTAAAAAGGGTTAACCAAGTTCCGCCTGGTCAGTCTATCAGTCGATCTAGTGGAATATATTCACCATCCAGATTGCTTGTAAGTTTCCATCTGCCATGAGAAGTTCTGGGGTTTTTGACCAATTTTGAATATGGTTAGATAGGCCCCAGATCCATCAACCCTCCCGAAGAAAACCTTGTCTCATAAAATTTTAATTTCTACTTATGGATTAGAGTTAATAATCTGCACCAATTTAACTTTAAGTAGGAAGGAAAGCAGAAGTAGGAACTAAAAGGGCAGTAAATTTAGTAAGCAAGTAAGGAAGAAAAAAAACATTTGTTGGGTTGGGGGGTTTGTAGGGGGTGGGATGGGAGGGTGATACTATACCGCTTGCCTATATACATATATGGCACTATTTGAAGCTAATTCAACAGGATCTAACATTAGATTTCATAACTCGAAACTGTGATGTTGAGTAGACAAGCTAGAGATCATTACATCATTAACTGGTGAGGCTGTGAAAAGTGGCAGAACTGATAGTAACCTTCTACAATACCTTCCTTATTTATTACAGATACAACAATCTTAAACACGTGTTCTCCTGGTTAACTGATGCAGGGATACGACTCCTTAACTTCCTCTTCATGTATGATCCAATGAAAAGGTACAACATAAATTGTCTCATGATCCTTGTTATTATTGGGAAAAGACTGTTCCTCCATCCACAAGTAATGGTATCTGACAGATAATTTTCTGAAATATAATTCTATTTTAAAGAAATTGGCAAACATGAAGTATGTTTAAATTTTAATTTGATCAAAGTGAGCATGACATGATGATAAATGAAAATGAGTTCCTTCTTTCATTTCTGGCGAGTACATTGTGAAAAGTTTTGAAAGACTTCCATTTTTGGATGTAAAATGCATCCTATTTAATTTGAAAGCTGGGAGAAATAAAGATAACATTAATTTGTTTCCATGTAAATAGCATAACACGGTGTTTACTTTTTATAAAATAATAATTGATGATTAAATGTTTAATAGGGCTTCTGCAGAGGACAGCTTAGACAGTTCCTACTTTAAGGAGCAGCCATATCGTAAGTGTTATATTTGAGCTGACCTATTTGTGTATATGTGAGCTGGCTTGAGCTATTAACGGCCCCGGAGTTCTCAATTGATTTCTGTCGAATGAACAATCTGTTAATACATGATATGTACACAAATCATTAGTCATTAAATGAGGTCAAAGGTCAAAGTTCAGAGATGTCCAACTTACAAAATGATCTGCTGAATCCCTAGGGAATTTGTTAGGGCTTGATTTGATTTTCCCTGTCAATTTTTAATCAGTGTGTTTTCACTTGAGGAAAGGGATGGAGGGGAATGGGGATTATTTTCAATTAAATTAGCAATATTGTCACTTAGTGGTAAATATTACACATTGTGTTGTGTAAATGTAATTTTAAAAAGTTTTCTATGTGTTTCATAAAAATGATTGGCAATGATCTTAAAATAATTGTGCAGGTGACAGGCATATGAGGCAAGTACGTAAACTTTTATGAGATACCTGTCAGTAATTTTGTAATAAATACTGATATTTTCTTAGTTGTTGGAATATTCTTCATGCAATGGGAAAAAGGTTGATTAAAATAATGGACACAGTGTAGTAATAATTTCATGATAAACAATGTTGAAAGCAAAAAATGCAGTTTACAAATTTTTAAATGGGTCACTGCTAAAACTAAGACAAAAGAACAATACTGAATTTTTACTGTGACTTCAGAATGTCTGAAAATAACAATACTGAATATATTTATTGTCATTTTAGAATGTTGAAAGAAAATAAAAATGGTTTTTATGTACAAGTTTTGAAATGAGACACTTCTAAAAACAATTTCGAATATTTAATGAGTTGAATGTACAAATTTTTGAATGAGTCACTGCTAAGAGTAAGATAAAAAACAAAAGTGAATGTTTACTTGGGTTGAAGTAAAGGTCCATTTAACCCTCTGTGGGTCTTACTTTCCTTGTCCAAGTGCATTAGTTTGTTCATAGCTTTGTTTTCTGTGTTACAACACAGCGTGTGATCCGGAGCTCATGCCAACATTTCCACAACACAGACTCAAGCGGAAGGCTCCACCAGAAGAAAAGGCAGAAGAAAGGTGAGAAGCTATAACTAAGGATTTCTGTTTGATGGTGAAGGATGTTTGAAATGTCAGGGAAAAAATAAAAAGGGGGTCATGGGCTTAACATTGATTTCGGTTATTGGTACCGAAAATATATTGTTCAGAAAGAAAAGAGGAAAAACATGATGCAAGCTGATGGCTATTTATTGAATATGATTGGTCAGATGTCCGAATTCTAAAGAGGGTAATGGTTATTGAGAAGAATATTTGTAATTGTAAACATGGCATGCTTGTTATAGCTAATGTCTTGTGTAATATAATATCTTTCATTACAAGGAATATTTCTAAGGAAGCTGGTTTAGATTTGCTGTGAAGGTTATGTAACAAAAGCGAAGTATCGTTAATTCAACAAAATAATATATATATATGGTATGGTGTCATGTTAAGATTTGGATAAAAAATCATAATATTTTGGTTTTCAGAAAGCAAAAAAGAAACTCTGGGTCCTTCCAGGACTTTGGCAATACAGCCCTGTCATCTGTAAGTAAAACTTGATGTTTGGTAAAATTCTTTATAGATGTCATGCAATATGCTTGTAAACTTTTAAAGAATTTTCAGGGGGAGGTAATTGTGCATTAAAAAACTAAAAATCAGAAAAGAAGATTATAGATCACATTTTGATCTATTGATAATTAAAAAAACAACTCATATTGGGTCGGTCAACTGTATAACTTAGTTTTTTATTTTAAGAGTACAAAATTAGTTTTACTGGAATTTATATCTATGAATTGGGAACGTCTTTCTAAAATACAACAAAGTGGGCAAGCAAGTTTGATATCCCTTTTAAGTCTGGCCTACGTTGGATTTTACCTTTTTACTGTGGTTGAATTCTTCGTATTAATGCAATAAAACATATGCTGAAGAACAATGACCATTCACTTGCACGCTTCACAGTGATTCCCTAGTTTCCTGTTTCTTTTGTCGTAACCAAAGAAACCCCTGGTTCAGCTGTTATCATGTGTATGTGCATGCTATACCTTCTTGTGTCTCTTCACATGGGCACTTTAAATTATCAAAGTGAGTTCAGGTTTTCTTAAGTCAGAATAAAGTCACGCTTGGAGTAAGCCGTGAAGTTCTTCCTCAGATTGATGTTGTTGGTAGAGTTATGTCCCTTTGACCTTAATGTTAAAATGTTGCAAAGGTGTCCTAGGTTTATCTCTCTTCTGATATAAAACCGTTACTGTGATTGAATTAGACTGACAAAAACTTTAGTCCAGGTTTTGTACCACTATTGTGATTCAAACATGTAACTTCTACAACAAGTGAAGACCATGCAAGGTTTGATGTCAAGATTCCTCACCATTGTTACATAGTGTTCAAAGTACCCTTCCTCATTTGTCCCTATTCCAGCCATCCACTGTCTGTCATTAACTACTCTATCTAACATTATTTTCTGAAAAGTACTCAGGTCCCTCTTACTTTGAGTTGTAAATTGTCCTATTAGGTTTCTAGGACTGATTAAGAAATTAATTTTACCGACAGGTGGCCGTTTTCTTAATTTTAACAGTTATAGGGTTCTTTTGCTGTTGTTTGAAGTGCTGGATAGATCCTTCTCAAATACCATGTTTAGGTCCCCCTTGGTACCTTATATTGAATTGTCTATTTTCATACGGATTGAAAAAACCCCAACAAATGTCTGATAGGTGGCCATCTTGAATTTTGACAGTTATAGTGCGTTAATGCTGTTTTTTGAAGTGTTGGATAGATTCTGATAGGTGGCCATCTTGAATTTTGACAGTTATAGTGCGTTAATGCTGTTTTTTGAAGTGTTGGATAGATTCTTCTCAAGTATCATCTTTAGGTCCCCCTTGGTACCTGATAGTGTATTGTCTAGTTTCATACTGATTGGAAAAAAAAACAACAAATGTCTAATAGGTGGCCATCTTGAATTTTGACAATTATGGTTTTTGTTATTGTTACTTCCGGGAACTGAATGGATCATTCTTGGACTTAACTGACAGACGGCTATATTATATTGGACGGTTATAGATTATTATGCTGCTTCATGCGGAATGCTAAATGAATTATTTCATTGACAAGTTTCTCATCATCCATAGTTATACATTTTCAATTGAATGACCGATTGTGAAAACAAAATGGCCTTCAGCCCCTTCTTAAAAGTATTGTATGGATTTTTTCTTTCAATTTCAAATATCAGTTGTCCTTTGTCCCTAGCTGTAATGTTTGATTGCAAAAACAAAATGGCTAGCGGATAGCCATCTTGGATTTCAACTGTGAGGTTGTATTATTTCTTTATTGATTGCATAGGTTACTGTTGGTTACTAGTTGCACATATTTTATATCAGAACTCATGGGGAAAAAATGGCTGACAGGCAGCCATCTTGGACTTTGACAATTATGATTTGTTATTAATATTTCTTGAGAAGTACTTGACAGGTTAGAATATGATTTCACGAGTAGATGCTCCTTAGTCCTGTGATCTGCATTCTTCATTTTTGGACCAATATATTGATTAAAGTGGTCAAAAGATGTTTGTTGACAAATCTTAAGATAACAAAGCTTTTTCCAAAATAAATTCGGAAATGGGATATGTGAGATTTGGATGCATGCATCTCCTGTTAAACTCACTCATATTTTGAGAAACCATTTCATCTCTTAGTATTGGAACCTGTCAAAATTTTGGAATTGGTATTCTGGACTCGCCTGACCAAATCGTTCAACAATTATTTATTGCATATCAATTATAAAGCAAAAAGCCACATTAGGATATTTTCAAATTTATTACTTTGATTTTGTAACATATCAGTTCCAGTTTCTGACTGACATTTGTCACAATATTAAAAACAAAATGTTAATAGCAGACGAAAGAAATTGTCGTTTTCAATTACAACAGTAACTGGGTCTTTGAAGTGACTGCTGTGCCGTATTTATCTTGTAATATGTCCATGCTTCGTGACATCTTTGCCTGATCAGTAGCCTGCAATTTCATTGCCAGCAATAAACCTATCCCCTGATGTGGAATCAAGTTTATATGTCAGAATCTAGATTTTTTTTATTGAAGGAAAAATAGGATAGTTTTATGCATTGGAAGTGGAAGTTGTCACATTCTCATTACATTTCGATCTGTTTTATGTTGAACTGTTTCATGTTGATACGGTTGCTGTTAATGACTACAACACTGACATGTTTTCATTACAGCTGACAACCGTCAAAATGACATATTAAATCATATTGTGGATAGAACAGTACTTTTATGACTTGTGTGTATACAGATCAAATGATCAGTCTCTGGTTAGATGCCAATCAGGGAACCTGGTAGAGTTAAAAACATTGTCATATGCATGGAAGATTTTTAGCTCACCATCATCAGATGCTGGGTTATTCAAATTGTCCTACTTCAGCAGTCCGTCTGTCTTTCTGTCCGTAAACAATTTTTGTTATTGCTTTTTCTTGAGTACTAAGTGGATCTTTCTCAAATTTCATATTTAGGTTCCCCTTGGTCTCTTTTGTGCCAATCTAATTTTTGGGGTTAATCAGAAAAAAAAGAAAGTGGCCGACAGGTGGCCATCTTAGATTTTGATTTTGAAAGTTTGTTATCAATACTTCTTGTGAAGTACTGGATGCATCTTTCTTAAATTTCATATGTAGGTTTCTCTTTTTCCTTGTTGTGCCTGTTTGATTTTTTACCTGATCTGAAAAAAAACAAGATGGCTTCCAGGCAACCATCTTGGATTTGGCAGGTAAAGATAATCATCACTATTTCTGCAAAGGAATGTTCAAATTTCTTATCATTAAGAAGCAAAAAACACTGAAGAGAAGAGCAAAGAAGGGAAAAGCTCCAACTTTCAAAGAGCAAATGAAGATCAAACAATGGCGGGCAGCAAGATCCATCTCAGATCTCTTGTTTTTTGTGCATCTACTATTTTATGGGCGATGTCCAGTTTTTATATTAAATGATACATGTTGAGATTGTCTCAACAGATATTCTTCACATTTACCACATCATAACATCAGTTCTGTACCTGCTGGTTTTCTGGTTTGTATAGAAGGGTATTTTCTAGTTTGAAAATAAAAAAAGAATGAAAAAAAATTAAAGACAACTTACTTAGGAACAATGATAATTTTTTTTAACATATTTATTTTTAATTCTAGAAGTGGAATTAGATTTTAGTTAAAATGACTTATTGCAGCATTCTCCCAGGTTGTATCACCAACTCCTTCCATTGAAATGTTTTTTCAAATTAAACTGAAATGTCTAGCAGGTGTCTGTCTACTGTATCCTTATATTAATAGTCATTGTGTATTTCCAGTGACTTGACAGACATGTTAAATACAATGTGGGTAGTTTTATTCATCTAGTTTCTTCAATTAATGATAAACTTTTATCTAATTAATAACACTAGCTTTGATAACCATGTATGAAGGTATCGCTTGAAATAAAAATGTAAATTTAAAAAAAGAAGGAAATTTTCTCGTGCGTCTAGGTTTTGAAATGCTATTTCATGATTTCTTACAAATTGATAGGATTAAGATCTTTGATAGGAAATTACGTTAATATGCTTCCATCTGGACTGAGTGTTTACGTGTGAATGCATTACTGAAATAACCTTGAAAACAAATTTTCAAGATCTGGTTTCCCACACTCTTGCACAAGCCTGCTGAGGGAGAATAACTTTTTAAAACACTGGTTAATCCCTACAGAGGTTAAATGAAAGACAAGCAGAGTCTGTTAATTTCAAACAACACTTTCATTTTACAGGAATTTAACGTTTAAATGTAAAATCTTAAAACGTAATTATATTATCAGGGTATCCTCAATATATTTCAAGGTCTCTTGGAAATTGATTTTTCATAAGATGACAACCTAAAGATGGAGGATACTTAAAACTAATGGAAGCCGAGCTAATGCTTGTGCTTAATGAGATATAAAAATGTGGGGTTTAAGTAGAAAGCTGTGTTATCTTCGAAAGCATTATCAGTGTCAATACAAGACACAAGCTGTCATGCAACCTGTCATGATATGATGCGACAAAGTCACTATTCTTTGTCGTTAACGGGAAAACAAATTGAAGTATATTTCTAACTTGCCATTAAGAGACTTTATTTGTGTAGCGAAAATCGTTGTATAATAGACACAGTTAATGGCACAATATAACGCTGTAAGTAATGTATGTAGGATATGAATATTGTTAAAGTCAGTATATAAGGAATTAACAGATTACGTTTATATGTAGTATAAATGTTTTATCATTAATAGATTGGAAACTTCCTCACAGGAAATTTGTAAATCTTTAACACACAGTTACAAAAAACAGTTATATCTTTGTTTTTTTTTTCAGTTAATTTTTTAAACATAAAAAAAATATTGTTTTTGATAGGGAATGGAAAATATTGTTGTAAACAATAAAGTTGATAATTACTTAAACATATTTTCAGGCTAAGAAGAAAAAAGTTTGATGCGATGTTACTCAGCAAAGATAATGAAGATTTCGATATCTCATACGTGACCAGGGTGCTACAGTAATGGAGGACGTCATCCATAGGATGATCAGGGGAATCTCACCCAGAAAGACAATGTTTGTGTGGATTCTTGTTATTGATACAAATTTCTGTGTCAGATATTGGGACCTGCAGACACGGATTTCCTTGCCATAGAAACATGTTTCTGACAGCAAAGACCTCATGTGACAGGCATTTCACGTGTGAAGAATCAGTGATGATGGAAAAAGTGTCAGACTTTTTGTGTGTTCAGTTCTCATTACAAAATGTAACAGAACTGTTACAAGTAATGGGATAGACAGACATTTTAAGAGGATGATGGGATTTTCATGACAAAATGCATGTGTTGATAATACATGTGAATTTGATGTTAGAAGAAAAAAAAGAATAAAAAAATAAAAAAAGATATTTTTTAAGATTTGATATGATTTTTTTTATCTTTATTTCTTGAAAGCTATGCGATGGTTTCACTCTTTTCATTATCAGGAGGATTAGACACTCTCAGTATGGCTGTCAGAACAACAAACTGAACAATAGGCCCAATGGGCCTGTATTTCTCAACTGATTGGCAGCATCATTTCAGTCAATTTGCCAGGGTATGCAAACTTGAAAGCTCTTCTTCTCAGGATACTACATCTTCAATAGTATAACCTTTGACCTGTTGGTTAGAAGGTTAATTGATTTGTAGGCTGTGGATGACATATTGCTATCATTGTTTGAGTGTATTTTAATCACCTTTTGGTTACAAATGTTATTAGGGAAGGTGAATAGCTTGTGACGTAAAGTTGATTCTGTCCACATGGAGTTAGGTCCCAAAAGGGGTGAAATTTTGCTTAAGAATGCTATATTTCCATGATTTCAAGGTCAATTTCAAGTGCATTTGGTCTGAAACATCCTTTGGGAAGTAAATGAAGTTGATTCAAGTGATGGGGACGATTCAAGTGATGGGGACATGTCCCCAAGAGTAGAAATAAACTAAATTTGCTTTAAAACGCTGCCCCTTAATGACTGAGTGGATTTCAATCAAATTTGGTCTGAAACACTACTGTTGGAGTTAATTATTCCTAATATCAATTTAAATGCTGATCTGACCCCTGGGGACATGGGGGCTGGGCTCAAAAATAGAAACTCAGAATTTTGCTTTCAAATACTGCTCCTTGACACCTTAGTGGATTTTAATCAAATCTGGTCTGAAGTGTCTTTGGGGAACGGATGCTTTTTTCCTTAAGTCAGTTCAACATTTGGAATGAGAGGAGGGGCCTTATATTAGATATCTTTTTTTTTTTTTAAATATATCTAATGTAAACACACTTGGTCCAAAATATCTCTGTGGCAATATTATGGATAAATGAAAGACGATCAGACTATTAGGGTCAAAGGGCAAGACCAACTAGGGGAATTAGGGAGTTATTTTAAAATCATACTCCTCCTTAAGGTTTACATGTGGACTAAAGCATCACTTTGACAAGGTGATAATATAAATTTGGTTATTGTGACCCCCAGGGCAGAGGGGCAGGGTGCAATAAAGAAAACTGAGACAAGACTTTAAATTCTATTGATCTTGCCAAATGTCTGCATGAATTATAAACATTTCAGGTTTGAAACATAGAACAAAGGACTGAAATGGTTTTGCACAAATAAAATTGATGGACATGTGATCCCTTAAGGCCAGGGTCCAATAAATGTCGAGACAATTTGATTTAAATATTTACTAAATAAGGTAATTGGTAACTGACCACTTTGTTAATTCTACTGAGTTAATACTGATCAGAACTGCTTCGTTCAAATAATTTTGTTTTCGTGGGAGTATGCTAACAGTTTTGTGACTTTCAATGCCAGTCATTCTACCTGATTTGTGGTTAAATTACGTAATTCAGATTTTTAACAGGTTTGACACCTGTGATCTTTAAAGTGAGTCAAGGTCACTTATAAGATCAAGCTTTGTAACCCTACATCACAGCATGCTACATGCTTAATATCATGGTGATAGGCATCTTGATTATTGAGAAGTTTTAAAATATTTTTATTTTGTAGCCTTTACTCCAGTATGCTACAGGCCCAATATCATGACCCTTGGGCCTATTTGTTATTTTTCAGAAGTTTAGAATATTTAACGCCATTAAACTTGTGACATAGACATTGCATGAAGGTCATTCACTCAAACAAACTTTGTACCCCTTCATCCAAGCATATGAATGGCTCAATATCATGTCCCAAGGCCTTTTGGTTATTGAATATTTTAACACTTTGACCCCTGTGACCTTTCAAAATGGGTCAAGGGAATTAATTTCAACAATCTTAATTCCTTTATTCAGGCATGTTACAGATCTATCATTACCCTGAATCTCAAAGATATTGAAAAGAATATATCAGGCTGTTTTAATACAATTAACCCTTCTGACTTAAAACAATCTGGTAGCATGTCATCCCAGCTAGTAAAAATCACTATTTCATTGTCCTAAGCCTGGTCAAGGTCATTTGAAATAAGTAATTCGAAGCCTTCATCTTTGCATTCTGTAGACCCAACATCATGACCTGGTAATCTAGGTTCTTTCATTGAAGTCAGTTAAAATTTTAATATTCATGTCTTTGACACCCATTACCTTGAAAGTGTTGCAAGGTCTCTCATTTGAGCAAACGTGGTACCACTTCCTACCAGCATTCTGTCGGCCTTATGTTATTAAAAAGAAATAGTTTTAAAGATTCAGGCAGGTGAGGTAGTGAAAACTTCAGATTATATTCACACCATAGAACAGCAGACATACGATGCATTGTGGATGGCTCAACTAAAAAGTCAAAAATGTTCTATACTTAACCGTACACATTTACTTTAAACATTTGTTAGCTCGCGTGACATGAGTCGTTTGAGTGTGTGTAATGGAACTTCATGTGGCACAAATTTTCCTCCAGCCTTTTTCTGGAGGATCAAAACGAGCCAAAAGAAATGTTTTTTTTTGTCAACATCATTTTTACAAGTCAAAGAGACATGCATGAAAGCTGCCAGCAGATGAAAGACAAATGATGTAGGTTAAGACGAAAGGATAATTGTAGGATTGCCCTTATGTGACTGGGAAATATTTCCAGTTGTATTATTTAGTAAGATGTGTTCGATTCGAGGGTCGTTCAGATTTTTGTTGTTATCCTGGTTCTCATTTGAGAACTTGACATTAGATTTATTTTCATGGATCAACCAAGATTTAGATGGTGGTTGTCTGTAATGAAGCATCTTCCCTTCATGGACACCTGGTCTTATATTCTTTCCCTTTTAGGTCACCTGAAGCTCAGAGGTCATTTTCCTGATTCCTCATGTTCCATCATCTTTTGTTGTCCGTTGTCAGTCAACATTTTCACATTTGAAACTTCTGGAAAACCGCTGCACGGATTTCAATAATATTTCACAGAAACATTACATGGGCAATGATAGAATTAAAATTAGATACTGTATGATCTATTCCCAAGGGTTTGAAGGGCGGGGCCCAAACGGGGGAAGCCTTTTTCTCCAATTGGAGCAATTACTAATATATTGTGTTCCAAAGATTTTGTTTCTGAAGTCTTTAAACAAAACTTCGACTTCCCTGAAAAAACTATAAACACCTACTGTATTTGTTTTAGTGTGAAATTGAGAAAGCGTTTGGTTTGTTGCCAGTTTGATGCAACTTAATTGATCTTTATCTATTTCATGACATTTCCATGGTTATAATTTTTTCCATTTGATTTGGCTTCTGGTAGTGGTTATGTATGCCTATCTTCATACATTTATACAACCCTCTGGGTTAGACGTTGTCTTCTCCTTCAAAACTTTATTCTGAAACGAATGAAAACACATTATATAAGCACTTAAAGAATTTACGTTAATGTTGTGTTTCTCTTCGTTCATTTGGCTTGCGTGTAGGCTTTGAATAAAAACACCTTATAGCTGCACTTATTTAAACAAGTACACACTTCATAATTGGATCATATTGAGGAACATGTCATTAGCAGACTTTTGAATTACGACAAATTAAATATTTAGATTAAGCGCAAATATAACAGTTTTTTTAACGAAATTGAATTCTACCTTTGTTGTGATTGGACTAAACAAATAACGTTGTCAATTTGGCAAACTCATTTCCTTTGCATTAGATTTGTTTTAATCAGGAAGAAACTACTTGGAGATGAATGATGCTTCATTTGCACAATCATAAAATGAATTATTTTGAAAATTGAAGGAGAATTCAATAATAATAACTTAACTCACTTTCTATAAACTTTAGTGTAACAGCTGTTTCATTCAATCACACATCAAACAAAACAACGTTTAAATACATCAATCGCCTTCTATTTTCACTTTCACAGCCTACCTGGTGCATAATTATCAACTATATAAAATTGTGCTATCGCTTTGTGTGTCTCCCAGGTACTCTACACCTGTTTCCACTTATCATATCTCCTGCTGCCTCTCTAATTTCTGGTAGTGATTTCCCGGATGTCCAGCACACAACTGGTTGGATCTGCAAGCAAAAAAAAGTTCCAGAACCCCGAAACCGAACAGACAACTTAAGTCAAAAATTAATATGTAACGTTTCAGTGTGTTAGCACTGTAAAAACACAAAAGACACAAACATTAATAATGCTTTTTAATAACAGTTTGATATTATGTATAGTATAAGCATATATAGGATGAAACTGAACCATACAACTTTTTCCTCTTTTTGGACATTTCTAGCACTATAAAACCGTTAGAATTTGTACCAAATATCAATCCAATCAAAAATTAATAACCTTGAGTTGAATTGGAATAAGAAACTGTTCAGTAAATTTTCTGTAACTAACTTTTAATTAAGATTTTTACTATCAACTTTTCTTTGTCAAAGATTCTTACCTTTCCATCTTTGAATGAGAACCACAACTATGGCAATCTGATTGAAATGTCCCGTTCTCACCATGACGAAGTACCGAAAGCGATGTGAAATGACCGATATGATTTTGATCAGATTGAACAAATGTTACCTTCGGGTTTTATACTTCTGTTTCTACCAGGAATGAGTTGAAGAAAACATTGTATAAAGGCCTTTTCCATTTCTGTTACATCACATAAAACAACAGATAGTCAAATGAATCATTTTAAAATAGGTTTTCATATACAAAACGAAATCAACTACCAGGTAAATTGTTTATTTACTTTATTTTGCCTCCCTATCTAATGAAGGGAGACAGCAACATCCATGCATTTCCATCCTATGGTGATTACATGTCACAGTTGATTTGATAAGCCTGTTCTAGTTATCACGATTTTCAAGTGAGAACTCATCAACTGAATGACAAACTCGTAACACAAGGATTCATAAGGTTGTAGACTGATGAAAATTATGAGGACATGTTGGACATGTTTGATGCTCGTAAGTTGGTTCCGTTGTTGTATAATTTGGTCTCATTTGAGAACG